GTGAGAGAATTTGTTCTTAGAAGCTGCAAGACGCTGCTTGAAATTGCCTGCAACTATTGGCAGTTAACAAAAAGTGTTAGAATTTGTTTCAAATGGGGGGGAGATTGTTGTTTCTTCTCGTTGTTCTTTTTTTCATCAAATAAAATTTCTTTAACAACATTTGCCATTGCTTATTGGCTAGTAATGTAAGTATTTACATACTTATACTATGTTTCTTGTTGTTTTTGGTGGTTTGTTGTCAGGAATTTTCGTGGTTTTCCTTTTTGTCTTGAACAACAACAAGATAAAACGACTACAAGATTCTAAATCTGAACAACAGTAGCTATTGAGAAAAAGAATTGTTAAGTGTTTGTCTATCTCGGACATTTTGCGTTGTGGTAAAGTGTTGTTGTTATAGCCTAGTTGTTTATTTAAAATGTTGCCAGCAGGATATTTATTCTTAGCCACTACCATTCGATAACCACCGCATATTCTAACCCATTCTAAACAAACCCGTCAATTAGTGTTGTATGGTTCTTGGTATTTCTTCTTTGTCTTTTTGATTTTTTATTCAAGTTAATGTCAATATTGATTTTGAGTTGGAGTGGAGTGAAGGAAAAAAAAAATCATCTGGAAAATGACAATTTCCTTATAAGCTCAACACAAGTATGTGTCTTAAGTCTTTTGTTTTTCTTGGGCATATGTTATGTTTGTATGTTTTGAGCTGACTTTTTTCCCAACAATAAACAATTTCCTTTTATTTCAGCTGTTGTCGCTTGCAATAAAAGAAACATCGTATAAATCAAACTTCGAGAACTGAATTCATTTTCGAGATAAGTTCTTTTGTGGCAAAAAATAAACTGAAATTCCTCTTAAGGGGAAATATGTACTATTGTTGATATTGTACATAAACCGAACATAATAATAAATATCTATTTTGCTTCATTTCTTTTTTAATTTTAGATCCACAATACTTCTTCCTGTTCTTTAAAAAATAAATACCAACAGATTTATAGTCTACAACGCTATAGTGGAGCAAGTATTATATGTTTGTGCTGATGTTTGTAATGTATAGATATATTGGTCCTATTTCCGCCTTAAAATAGGTATACCAATCGGGTCAGAATTATTTTTCGAGTTGATTTAGTTGTGTCCGTCCATGTAAAACGTTGTAATCTATTTTAATAATAATTTGATGCATTGGACTCATAGCACACATTTCATCCATGAACCTAATGATTTTGGCTAAAATAGGTCTATTATTAATTTTATGATCTTTAATGATTCGGGCCCCATCTCTACCGTAGTTCCCATACGCAGACCCATTAGAAAATGTTTTATACATGTTTTCATTCTTTTGAAATCGACTGAACGTTGTAGAATATATACAACGTCCTAAAACTATACTACATATTAAGTAAATCTCAAAATAAATGTCAATGATACGGGTTCAATATTATCTTAATAACTTTCAGAAGAACTGCTAGTTTAATAAAAACTAAGAAAGACAACAAAATTTGAGAAAATTACAAACACCAAGTCCAAGGTATATTTTCTGAAGTATTGAACAGCGGTGAAACCGAATCTGGCCTCAATGGACAACCTAATATGATGGATAATTTCTGAGGCCAGACTCGGATTTACCGCTGCTCAATCCTATCGAAATATATTTATGAACTACGAAACTGAACTAAAACTGACCTCAAACTGAACTAAACTGAACTAAACTGAACTACGAACTGAACTAGAACTGAACTAGAACTGAACTAGAACTGAACTAGAACTGACCTAGAACTGAACTAGAACTGACTAGAACTGAACTAGAACTGAACTAGAACTGAACTAGGACTGAACTAGAAACTGAACTAGAACTGAACTAGAACTGAACTAGAACTGAACTAGAACTGAACTAGACTGAACTAGAACTGAACTAGAACTGAACTAGAACCTGAACTAGAACTGAACTAGATGAACTAGAACTGAACTAGAACTGAACTAGAACTGAACTAGAACTGAACTAGAACTGAACTAGAACTGAACTAGAACTGAACTAGAACTGAACTAGAACTGAACTAGAACTGAACTAGAACTGAACTAGAACTGAACTAGAACTGAACTAACTGAACTAGAACTGAACTAGAACTGAACTAGAACTGAACTAGAACTGAACTAGAACTGAACTAGAACTGAACTAGAACTGAACTAGAACTGAACTAGAACTGAACTAGAACTGAACTAGAACTGAACTAGAAACTGAACTAGAACTGAACTAGAACTGAACTAGAACTGAACTAGAACTGAACTAGAACTGAACTAGAACTGAACTAGAAACTGAACTAGAACTGAACTAGAACTGAACTAGAACTGAACTAGAACTGAACTAGAACTGAACTAGAACTGAACTAGAACTGAACTAGAACTGAACTAGAACTGAACTAGAACTGAACTAGAACTGAACTAGAACTGAACTAGAACTGAACTAGAACTGAACTAGAACTGAACTAGAACTGAACTAGAACTGAACTAGAACTGAACTAGAACTGAACTAGAACTGAACTAGAACTGAACTAGAACTGAACTAGAACTGAACTAGAACTGAACTAGAACTGAACTAGAACTGAACTAGAACTGAACTAGAACTGAACTAGAACTGAACTAGAACTGAACTAGAACTGAACTAGAACTGAACTAGAACTGAACTAGAACTGAACTGGAACTGAACTAGAACTAGAACTGAACTAGAACTGAACTAGAACTGAACTAGAACTGAACTAGAACTGAACTAGAACTGAACTAGAACTGAACTAGAACTGAACTAGAACTGAACTAGAACTGAACTAGAACTGAACTAGAACTGAACTAGAACTGAACTAGAACTAAACTAGAACTGAACTAGAACTGAACTAGAACTGAACTAGAACTGAACTAGAACTGAACTAGAACTGAACTAGAACTGAACTAGAACTGAACTAGAACTGAACTAGAACTGAACTAGAACTGAACTAGAACTGAACTAGAACTGAACTAGAACTGAACTAGAACTGAACTAGAACTGAACTAGAACTGAACTAGAACTGAACTAGAACTGAACTAGAACTGAACTAGAACTGAACTAGAACTGAACTAGAACTGAACTAAACTGAACTAGAACTGAACTAGAACTGAACTAGAACTGAACTAAACTAGAACTGAACTAGAACTGAACTAGAACTGAACTAGAACTGAACTAGAACTGAACTAGAACTGAACTAGAACTGAACTAGAACTGAACTAGAACTGAACTAGAACTGAACTAGAACTGAACTAGAACTGAACTAGAACTGAACTAGAACTGAACTAGAACTGAACTAGAACTGAACTAGAACTGAACTAGAACTGAACTAGAACTGAACTAGAACTGAACTAGAACTGAACTAGAACTGAACTAGAACTGAACTAGAACTGAACTAGAACTGAACTAGAACTGAACTAGAACTGAACTAGAACTGAACTAGAACTGAACTAGAACTGAACTAGAACTGAACTAGAACTGAACTAGAACTGAACTAGAACTGAACTAGAACTGAACTAGAACTGAACTAGAACTGAACTAGAACTGAACTAGAACTGAACTAGAACTGAACTAGAACTGAACTAGAACTGAACTAGAACTGAACTAGAACTGAACTAGAACTGAACTAGAACTGAACTAGAACTGAACTAGAACTGAACTAGAACTGAACTAGAACTGAACTAGAACTGAACTAGAACTGAACTAGAACTGAACTAGAACTGAACTAGAACTGAACTAGAACTGAACTAGAACTGAACTAGAACTGAACTAGAACTGAACTAGAACTGAACTAGAACTGAACTAGAACTGAACTAGAACTGAACTAGAACTGAACTAGAACTGAACTAGAACTGAACTAGAACTGAACTAGAACTGAACTAGAACTGAACTAGAACTGAACTAGAACTGAACTAGAACTGAACTAGAACTGAACTAGAACTGAACTAGAACTGAACTAGAACTGAACTAGAACTGACTGAACTGAACTAGAACTGAACTAGAACTGAACTAGAACTGAACTAGAACTGAACTAGAACTGAACTAGAACTAGAACTGAACTAGAACTGAACTAGAACTGAACTAGAACTGAACTAGAACTGAACTAGATCTGAACTAGAACTGAACTTTTTGGCTGTATCTTTCTTATATCTCCGTTATTTATAGACCGATTTGTTGATTTCCAATAGCAAACTTCTTCTAGGCATATCTGTTGTCTCGCTTACAAGTAAGGAATTAGGTACATAGTTATTTGTAAGTCATTACTAGACTCATCCTAAGTAATGTAGACGATTTTTTAATAAGTACTTGTCATTAAAATGCTGAAGCTGTAGGATCGGAAAGTTATATTATGGAAATTGTATATAAATAGAATCTTTAATTAGCTACATCGAATATCTGCAATAACTTTTAAATCACTGTTGGGCATTTACCAAAGAAATTAATTAAATATTGACATTTTTTGGAATAATGCTAAAACGCTAATTAACTCATTCAATAGAAAACAAATTTACAATAAATTGCAACTTTGTTGCTTGTTTTCCACGACTCTTCTTTAAGAATGTCGAATTCTTGTTAGAAAATTTTCAACGGATATGTGATGAGTTGTTATCAAAATTGTACTTATAATTGATGTTATTGTTGTGGTAAAATTTTTACCTATGTAGATGTAATTGTAATTGTTATTGTTGTTATAATTGTAAATTATGCAAATAATATGGAAAAAGTTTTTTATTTTATAATTGCAATATAATTACACTTAAACTTCAAAAGCTAAAAATGAAAAACTATTTTTTGATTATACAGTTTATAACAGACAAACGTACATACATACATACATATGTATGTATGTACGTCTCAAACTCATATTCGTACTAATTACAGAACGTATAAAAAGAAACATTGTGTGAAGCTGAAATGAAAAATGAAAAAATATTATAGATATTAAGAAGTGTTCAGATGTGAAGTGAGTTTAAGTTTAAGTGAACACAGTTTTATTGCATTTTGAAGACACTGACCTAGACTGTTGTTGTTGTTTTACAGTGCTGAGCTATGTTGTGGTTGAGGAAGTATAAAATTATTTTCCACAAACTGAAGAAAAACAAAAGCAGCAATAAAATTTAATTTACTTGACTTAGATTTTAAATTATTTTGAATAATAATAACGCAAGAAACTGTGGCTAAAAAGAACGTAAAGAAAATTAGGCTTTTAACTGTATTAACATACTAACTGAATAACTCACTGACTGATAGACAGACAAATGATGATGTTCGTGATTTCATTTAGCCATGGAGAAAATAATAGAAAAGTAATATTCAATTTTTAAAATCAAACAAAACAGAGTTTTTGTAACAGTTTTCTTTTTATTATTTATACTAACAATTTAAAAGAATAAATAAAAATATTAATAAGCAACCGATTAAGATTTATATTGATCCAAACAATAACCGGTTATTTGATCGGATATACAATCAAAGACATCAAAAGCCAAATCACAACTTTGTCCTTTTTCGGGCAATTTTCTACGATCCACATGATACTTATTGGTCACAGCACGCAAACATAGATTCACCGATCTTAGAGTGGCCATAAAAAATCCATGCTCATTAACGCCACCTGAATAGAAATCAACTAAACCGTCTAAAGTAGGCCAACCTTTTTTATCAATGGCATTATTTTTGGCATAAACACAATGCAATAGACACTGTAAAGAGAATAAATTTTATTTTACACAAAAACGCAAATAAAATATCAAAATTAATAACAATTTTTAAATAAATGTGTGAAAATTTGTTTAATAACAAACAAAAAAACTTTATTAATTTGTTGTCTATAAAAAATTAAGAAATGTTTTGACAAGCAATAAGTAGTTGTAAGGAATACCCTACACGCTTTTAGTTACACTGAGAATTTCTCAATTTAACTGAGATCCTTTTTATACAGAACAATTCTTAGCTTCGCCTTATCAGTTTAAACATAGTCTAGTCTAGAGTCTGTTTATAGTCTATTCTATAGTCTAGTTTATAGTCTAGTCTATAGTCTAGTCTATTGTCTAGTTTATAGTCTAGTCTATAGTCTAGTCTATAGTCAAGTCTATAGTCTAGTCTATAGTCTAGTCTATAGTCTAGTCTATAGTCTAGTCTATATAGTCTAGTCTATAGTCTAGTCTATAGTCTAGTCTATATAGTCTAGTCTATAGTCTAGTCTATAGTCTAGTCTATAGTCTAGTCTATAGTCTAGTCTATAGTCTAGTCTATAGTCTAGTCTATATAGTCTAGTCTATAGTCTAGTCTATAGTCTAGTCTATAGTCTAGACTATAGTCTAGTCTATAGTCTAGTCTATAGTCTAGTCTATAGTCTAGTCTATAGCCTAGTCTATAGTCTAGTCTATAGTCTAGTCTATAGTCTAGTCTATAGTCTAGTCTATAGTCTAGTCTATAGTCTAGTCTATAGTCTAGTCTATAGTCTAGTCTATAGTCTAGTCTATAGTCTAGTCTATAGTCTAGTCTATAGTCTAGTCTATAGTCTAGTCTATAGTCTAGTCTATAGTCTAGTCTATAGTCTAGTCTATAGTCTAGTCTATAGTCTAGTCTATAGTCTAGTCTATAGTCTAGTCTATAGTCTAGTCTATAGTCTAGTCTATAGTCTAGTCTATAGTCTAGTCTATAGTCTAGTCTATAGTCTAGTCTATAGTCTAGTCTATAGTCTAGTCTATAGTCTAGTCTATAGTCTAGTCTATAGTCTAGTCCAGGGGTCGGCAAACTTTTGAGTCGGAAGAGCCAAATCTTACAGTTTACAAAACATGGGTTTTAAAAGAGCCACAAAATGTTTGTTTATTAAAACATTACAAATGAATTTTTGTGGGTCACTCGAATGCGTTTTTAACACTTGTTATATAAAGATATAAAAGTTTATTAGAGTGGGGCGACAGTGATATCATTTAAAAGGCATTTGCCATAATACAGTATAAAGTGTCATAGTTATGTATATTAATTAGGCAGCAATCGATATAAAATTTTCCACAAGTTTTTTTTTGTGATGTATTGCGGACATCGAACCATAATTGACCAACCCCAATATAAGGCCCCTTTAAAAAAATTACTCTAACGATCATAATTGACTTAACCGTTATGTCAATACACACATACCCGTGTATGTTTTTCATTTTTGAAGTGATATATCTCGAGGTCTATATATCGTATCGGCTTGTAATTTGGACTATGCTTTCAGAGTAAAGTTTTCTATACATTTTCCATTAGCTAAATATATATATTTTAAACCGATTTATGACCGATTTTCTATTTTTATCTCGTGTATCAATACCCAACATATCCCGGTATGTATAAAAATTATATGTCAGTTATCGGAAAAAAATTAAGTTTCTTTATAAATGTTATGTTTTATTTTTAGAATTATATATATTCTTGTATCTTATGAAAAAAAAATTGAACTAAACAACAAATTTAGTTTCAAATACAGAGTCATGTGTCTTTATTCATAATTTTGAATGTGAAATATTTGTGGTCCTTGTAACATTAACAAATATGCGCCGATTTTGATGAAATAATTTTTTTTTATTGTATATGACTTAGTGAAGTAAAATTATGCTGATTGTAATAATTTTATTCTCATATAAACAAAAATATTTAAGTTTAAATTTTAATTTTTGACCATGACTTAGCAATCTTTTTTTTGCAAAAAAGTTCCCTAATTACGAAAGCAAAAACAATTTCTTTAAAGCTAGTCGATTATATACACCTTAATAAATAATATACAAAAAGTTTTGTTCAATTATCTTTCCCGGTCACTGAGTAATAGCTTCTTGAAGTCAAAATTTTACAAATTCAAATTCTGCATAGTGCACATTATACGTTATGAAGGCGTTTTTCTTTATGTTTTTTGCATACGATATTTTTGTTAATAGGAAAGCAATAAGAAAACTCTAAAAAGAATTGCTAAAATTTAATGGTTTATAATCAAAAACTATTTAATTTATATATACAGACTTTTTATTAAATTAGTTTTAACAATTATCTGAATTATACACTAGAAATGTATAAAAAGATGAAATAGCCATATAAATTGTCTGACATACCCGGGTATGTTGGGTATTGATATACGTAAAGATTAAAAATGACATTAATTTTTTATTAGATTTTTGTTAAAATTAGTAATATTAAGACCATTAAAATTAGTAATATTAAGTCCATTAATAAGAGAAGGAAAAAACCAAGACTGCTAAACGGATTTTAAAACACAATGGGTATTTTTCCTCTGCATGAATTTAAATCCAATCAAAATCAGTTAGTTATGTTTTATCTTATTCTATTTTTATCAATATCACTCAAAAAAATTATTTAAATATTGATAATTAAATCGAAATACCATTAATGCATTTTTAAATAAATATAGTGCACCAATGAAAATTTGCTTGAGAATCATCGAATATTCATTGGTTATAAGAACTCATTTAAATGACGAACTATTTTTGAAAATACGAACCCATGCATGCCAATGACACGCTAATGTTAAAATCATGCATGTTTCCCCTAAATATGAACCAGTTCATTATCAGTTCAACCCATGCATTTACTACTTTTTTTGCACGTCTCTTTTTGCTGGGTAGTGATGAAAATCAACACAAACAAGTTTCATGGGATCCAAAATCTCATTACCAAATTTTGTAAGGATGGGTCCATAATACGCTTTCTGGTCAATTATTTATTTATAGCCAAAACTTTTATGCAAAAAATATATCAATCTTTCATAGATCACTGTCATTAAAACGTGCAATATTTAAAAATTTTTAATTTTTTGGCACCTTTTTATAGAAAGCGTTCAAAAAATATAAAATTCTTTAAAAAAAGATTAAAGTTTAAAGTTTTCATATAGACCAAGTTTTTAGTATTTAACTGTATCCAAACTCTCCACATAAATTAGTTACTATATTTTAAATTTCCAAAAAATATCTTTTAATTCGAAAAACACGAAAATTTCGGAATGTATGATCATGTTCTACATTTTATTTAATTGCACTTCGTAGGAGTTTGTTTGTTTGTTTTTAGGAACTTTTCAATTAACACTTTAAAGAATTAAAAATTCTCTTACAATATTAACTTGTACATGGAACAAATTCAATGGGAGTGATAGGTTTGTATGGCTTTAGAAAGATTGGATCATAACTTGTTGTTTAAAGTTTCAAAAATGACTCTAAATTTTCATTTATTAGTTGGCTTTTTACCTAACTCTTCCAACTTGCTTTTAAACTTTGCATTTCTAGAGATCCAATTCCAAATGGTTTAATGAGGATTTATTCTCAAATGTACGATTGTAAAAGCAAGGAAATGAGCGAAAAGCTAATTGTGTTGTTTTCTTTCTTTCTCACTCAAAAAGTATATGTTTTTGTTTCGTTCATGTACAGAACGATTAAGCAAAGTTAAAAAGTTCTGTATGTATATTGTAGAAACTTTTGCGAATTGTTTTGTTAGTATTAATACACTGCTCGTTAATCAATTCCAAAAAATTTTAAAATATATAAATATTCTTTTATAAAATAAATAAAATGTGTGTATGAAACTAAAGAGCCACAGCTCCACATCCAAAGAGCCGCATTTGGCTCGCGAGCCATAGTTTGCCGACCCCTGGTCTAGTCTATAGTCTAGTCTATAGTCTAGTCTATAGTCTAGTCTATAGTCTAGTCTATAGTCTAGTCTATAGTCTAGTCTATAGTCTAGTCTATAGTCTAGTCTATAGTCTAGTCTATAGTCTAGTCTATAGTCTAGTCTATAGTCTAGTCTATAGTCTAGTCTATAGTCTAGTCTATAGTCTAGTCTATAGTCTAGTCTATAGTCTAGTCTAGTCTATAGTCTAGTCTATAGTCTAGTCTATAGGTCTAGTCTATAGTCTAGTCTATAGTCTAGTCTATAGTCTAGTCTATAGTCTAGTCTATAGTCTAGTCTATAGTCTAGTCTATAGTCTAGTCTATAGTCTAGTCTATAGTCTAGTCTATAGTCTAGTCTATGTCTATAGTCTAGTCTATAGTCTAGTCTATAGTACTAGTCTATAGTCTAGTCTATAGTCTAGTCTATAGTCTAGTTATGTCCTAGTTATAGTCAAGTCTATTAGTCTAGTCTATAGTCTAGTCTATAGTCTAGTCTATAGTCTAGTCTATAGTCTAGTCTATAGTCTAGTCTAATAGGTCTAGTCTATAGTCTAGGTCTATAGTCTAGGTCTATAGTCTAGTCTATAGTCTAGTCTATAGTCTAGTCTATAGTCTAGTCTATAGTCTAGTCTCTATAGTCTAGTCTATAGTCTGTCATAGTCTAGTCTATAGTCTAGTCTATATCTAGTCTATAGTTCTAGTCTAAGTCTAGTCTATAGTCTAGTCTATAGTCTAGTTTACAGTCGAGTCTATAGTCTAGTCTATAGTCTAGTCTATAGTCTAGTCTATAGTCTAGTCTATAGTCTAGTCTATAGTCTAGTCTATAGTCTAGTCTATAGTCTAGTCTATAGTCTAGTCTATAGTCTAGTCTATAGTCTAGTCTATAGTCTAGTCTATAGTCTAGTCTATAGTCTAGTCTATATAGTCTAGTCTTTAGTCTAGTCTATAGTCTAGTCTATAGTCTAGTCTATAGTCTAGTCTATAGTCTAGTCTAAAGTCTAGTCTATCTAGTCTAGTCTATAGTCTAGTCTATAGTCTAGTCTATAGTCTAGTCTATAGTCTAGTCTATAGTCTAGTCTATAGTCTAGTCTATAGTCTAGTCTATAGTCTAGTCTATAGTCTAGTTTATAGTCAAGTCTATAGTCTAGTTTATAGTCTAGTCTATAGTCTAGTCTAGTCTATAGTCTAGTCTATAGTCTAGTCCGTAGTCTAGTCTATAGTCTATAGTCTAGTCTATAGTCTAGTTTATAGTCTAGTCTGTAGTCTAGTCTATAAATTATTCTATAGTCTAGCCTATAGTCTAGTTTATAGTCAAGTCTATAGTCTAGTCTATAGTCTAGTCTATAGTCTAGTCTATAGTCTAGTCTATAATCTAGTCTATAGTCTAGTCTATAGTCTAGTCTATAGTCTAGTCTATAGTCTAGTCTATAGTCCAGTCTATAGTCTAGTCTATAGTATAGTCTATAGTCTAGTCTATAGTCTAGTCTATAGACTTGTCTATAGTCTAGTCTATAGTCTAGTCTATAGTCTAGTCTATAGTCTAGTCTATAGTCTAGTCTATAGTCTAGTCTATAGTCTAGTCTATAGTCTAGTCTAGTCTATAGTCTAGTCTATAGTCTAGTCTATAGTCTAGTCTATAGTCTAGTCTATAGTCTAGTCTATAGTCTAGTCTATAGTCTAGTCTATAGTCTAGTCTATAGTCTAGTCTATAGTCTAGTCTATAGTCTAGTCTAGTCTAGTCTATAGTCTAGTCTATAGTCTAGTCTATAGTAGTCTAGTCTAGTCTAGTCTATAGTCTAGTCTATAGTCTAGTCTATAGTCTAGTCTATAGTCTAGTCTAGTCTAGTCTATAGTCTAGTCTATAGTCTAGTCTATAGTCTAGTCTATAGTCTAGTCTATAGTCTAGTCTAGTCTAGTCTATAGTCTAGTCTATAGTCTAGTCTATAGTCTAGTCTATAGTCTAGTCTATAGTCTAGTCTATAGTCTAGTCTATAGTCTAGTCTATAGTCTAGTCTATAGTCTAGTCTATAGTCTAGTCTATAGTCTTAGTCTAGTCTATAGTCTAGTCTATAGTCTAGTCTATAGTCTAGTCTATAGTCTAGTCTATAGTCTAGTCTATAGTCTAGTCTATAGTCTAGTCTATAGTCTAGTCTATAGTCTAGTCTATAGTCTAGTCTATAGTCTGTCTATAGTCTAGTCTATAGTCTAGTCTATAGTCTAGTCTATAGTCTAGTCTATAGTCTAGTCTATAGTCTAGTCTATAGTCTAGTCTATAGTCTAGTCTATAGTCTAGTCTATAGTCTAGTCTATAGTCTAGTCTATAGTCTAGTCTATAGTCTAGTCTATAGTCTAGTCTATAGTCTAGTCTATAGTCTAGTCTATAGTCTAGTCTATAGTCTAGTCTATAGTCTAGTCTATAGTCTAGTCTATAGTCTAGTCTATAGTCTAGTCTATAGTCTAGTCTATAGTCTAGTCTATAGTCCTAGTCTATAGTCTAATCTATAGTCTAGTCTATAGTCTAGTCTATAGTCTAATCTATAGTCTAGTCTATAGTCTAGTCTATAGTCTAGTCTATAGTCTATAGTCTAGTCTATAGTCTAGTCTATAGTCTAGTCTATAGTCTAGTCTATAGTCTAGTCTATAGTCTAGTCTATAGTCTAGTCTATAGTCTAGTCTATAGTCTAGTCTATAGTCTAGTCTATAGTCTAGTCTATAGTCTAGTCTATAGTCTAGTCTATAGTCTAGTCTATAGTATAGTCTATAGTCTAGTCTATAGTCTAGTCTAGTCTAGTCTAGTCTATAGTCTAGTCTATAGTCTAATGTATATTCTAGTCTATACTCTAGTCTATAGATTAGTATATAGTCTAGTCTGTAGTCTATAGTAAAATCGGTACAGACTTCTTAAATTGTCTACCACCACCTCAAGTAGTTCTTCCCAAAAGCCCTGACTTTGTGCTAAAACTGAAAAAATACCTTCGCATGCAATTAATTATTCTTCTTGAGCATCTGCTAAATTTTTATCTCAACTTAATTGTTCATTTTATTTCGACACGTCATTTTGCTCATTATTAAATTAAATTGTATATTTAACTATTGTTTTAATTATTCTATATAATATACATATTCTGATTAGTTTCATTATAATTCTCAACATTGATATTAATTATTCTTTTTTTTTAACAAAATGTATTTTCTTTTAAAGTTTAAAGATCTTAGATTGAAAATGTGCGTTTTTTATTTGTTAAAAGCAAGTGATTAAATATTTGTTTTGGTATTTATGTTTAAAGTGGTAATAAAATAATTACCTAAAATTATTTTGTATTTTGTTTTTGATAAATGAAGATTAACGAGTTGAAAGTTTTAAACATTTTAATTTAAGAAAAATTATCTTGGCTTGTCTAGTGTTGAAATGAATTGAAAAGGAGAAAAATGGTTGATATATAAACATTAGGCGGGTGCACAAAGCTTAAAAATTGTCAAATACTCATCGTCTCGACTTTAGATCAGTCTGTAGAACAAACTTCAGATCAGTCAATAGACTTGTCTATAGATTATTCTATTGTTTGCATTATAAATAAGTCCAAAGTCCTACTACAGATGAGTCTATATTCTCGACTATAGTTCAGTCTATAGTCTCTACTATGTATCAGTTTATAGTCTCAACTATAGATCAGCCTGTAGCGACGAGTATAGATTATTTTATAGTCTAGACTATAGATCAGCCAATAGTATCGACTTCAGATCAGCCTATAGACTCGACTATAGTCTCGAATACAGATCAGTCAATAATCTCTACTATAAAAGAAACTATAATCGAGTCTATAGTATCGCCTATGAATCACTTTATAGTCCGTACTATATATAACAGATCAGTCTATACTCTCCATTACAGAACAATCTATACTCTCGACTAAAGTCTCAACTATAGATAAACCAATAGCCTCGACTACTGATTTACCTATAGTCTCGAATTTAGGTCAGGAAATAGTCTCAACTATAGATTAAACTATTATTAAGTCTATAGTCTCGACTACATTTCAGTCTATAATTGAGTCTAGAGTCTCGAATATAGATCAGTCTAAATTCTCGACTTTAGATCTCAAAAAATTAATTTTTTCCTACTTACCCCCGCAATCCGCTTATCCTCCGATGGCACTAATGTGGGATGATAAATACCATTTGAAATATCACCCACACGACTTATACGTCTCAATAAACGAATCATGCGACGTTGAGAGTTTGATGTATCCTCTTCAATAAAATACTCATAACGATCACCATCATCTTCTACGATTACATCATCATCACCATCTCTAATATGAGTAACAATATGTTCTTCACTTGGATGTGATGGTGGTGATGATGGTGGCAACGATTCTGTCCATGTTTCCGAATGAGTTGCTGCTGGTGTTTCTACAGTTTCTATTAGATCAATACTATCATCATTGGGATTGATGGGAGGATGAGTTTTATGGACCTCTTGTTTGAGTATGCGAAAGGCCTCTTTTGTAAGATAAAAGAATCATATCAGATTATATTGTTGTCATATTATTAATTAATCGTTGTTAAATTACCCAAAACTAATTTATTTTTAACCTCCTCTTGGCATTCTTTAATGAAATTCTCAACTCTTCTAGCGGTACGGGGAGGATTTAGGCATTTTGTTTTCTACGGAAAAATAAAGAAATTTTATTTTTTTTTTAACTCCTTATTTTTCAACAATTTTAAAAAGTATCATGAAAATAATCATTAAATCACTTTAAGTCTTTTGCTTCCAAATTCCAAAATTACATCACAAAAACAAACGATTTAAGCAAAAAACTTTATAAAACTCTTTTTCTGTTAACACAACAAACCTTATTACTAGTCATATCGTAGCTACGATAACCATATCCTTGTACGGTTATCAATGTCATAATCAAACCGATTACGTTTATATTCATAAATTGTATAATATTCATTATCAAAAGACCACAAAGTTGTTATTATAAAATACGTGAAAAGTCCAAAACCGAAAGCCACAACCTTTTACTTTAAACGCCTTATTACAAATGAAAATGAAATTTTACACAATTTTCCAAAGTCAAGTCCAACGAAAAATGTGTGAATAGATATTTATTTATATCTTTGTTTTGCGAACTTGTTTGGTTGGTTACAAAAACATATTTTCCAGTTTGTTTGCGCGAATTTTACACATTGCGTTTTATAATTGTAGATAATAGGCATTCGATTTTACAACTTTATCTTCAACTCCTGCTACTATTACAAAATCTGCAAATGCTGCCGCTGTGAATCTAGTATTTGATCATCTTAAGTTATTAGTCATGAAGTTGTTGTAAAGAAACTAATAAAACACAAACAGGCAAATAAAACGAGTTACATACATACAGTGTCTCTCATAATTATTCGAATTTGGGTAAACTATAAAAAGAAACCAAATTTAATAATATATTTTGTGTGCAAAATAAATAAATTAATTTGTTATATTGTCTAGATAGTCCTTATGTTTGATATCACGCTTTTTAAAACTTGAAAAATTTGCATTGACTTAAATTAATTGTGCTTTTTTAAAAAAAGTCCATGAAATTGCCTCACAAAAGTATACGAATTTTTCCTGTATTTCATATTTGATCATATTATACGCAACACAAATTTTAGAATCGAATGGTTTTTATGCGTAATATTGTTTTAAGGGGTTACTATCCACGGAAAGGATATATTTTTGGCCCATTTGGTCCACAATTTTGGGGAATTTGTACCCTCTTTTCATGTAAAATCATTAAAATGGCGATTTTTGGCCATAATTGCAAATTTTTCTCCTTTTTTCCAGATATAAAACAAAAATTTGATATTGGGACTTAAAAGACCCCTTGGGGTATCTAAAAATAATATTTTTTGTTACAAGAATCTGTATTTAAACGTTCCAAGATAAATTATTCGGATCATTCTTCTGTCGCTAATTCAATATATTGGAACTTAAGTCCATTTTTATAATACTACGATCAACTATTTTCGGGGAAAGTTTTCTGGTATATATTCTTTTAGATATCAGCTTTTATACATTTTAAGTTTTCAATGTGTTGTGGAAGTGTAAAACTCCAAAACATGCCTCGAAGAAGCACCATTCAAAATAGTAAAATCATTATTTTTATATACCAATGGCCTCCGTGCTGCATGGCACGATATCATTATGATCACATCAAAAATGTTGATATGTGTTTAAATATTATTTACTATGATCAAATTAAAACCAAAATTTAGGACTTACAGTGTTATTGTAACGGGCTACATAAGCGTGAAAGTTACGAGTAGTAAAAACTGAAATCTACTATATAGGATGACGTTTTGTTAAGGCATGTTTTGGGGTTGTATACCGCTATAATATATTGAAAATTTAAAATACATTAGTGCCAATATGTACTTGAATATACACTAGACAACTTTGTCGGAAAATATCGTCCCTAGAGGTACGAAAAGGGACTTATGATCCAGATAATTCAATTAGAAACTGAAAAACGATACCAAAAAATACATCTTGGAACGTTTAAGTACAGATCCTTATAACAAAAAATATTATTTTTAGATACCCTATGGGTTCTATTAAATTCCAATATTAAATTTTGGTTTTATCTCTGGAAAAAGGGTGAAAACATACAAATATAGCCAAAAATCGCCATTTTAATGATATTACATGAAAAGGGGGTACAAATTCCCCAAAATTGTGGACCAAATGGGTCAAAAATATATCCATGCGGTTGATAGTAACCCCTTAAAACAATATTAAGCATAAAACCATGCGATTCTAAAATTTGTGTATCGTATAATATGATCAAATATGAAATATGGGAAAAATTCGCATACTTTTGTGAAGTAGTTTCATGGACTTTTTTTAAAAAAAGCACAAATAATTTAAGTAAATGTAAATTTTTCAAATTTTAAGGGGCGTGATATCAAAACTAAGGACTATCTAGACAATATAAAAAATTAATTTATTTATTTTCCACACAAAATATATTATTAAATTTGGTTTCTTTTCATAGTTTACCTAAATTCGAATACTTATGAGAGACACTGTATGTACATAAAAAAGTGCAAGTAACATGTAAAAGAAATTATTATACAAACATTTCAATTCATCAATATTTTCATTTGTTTTCAATATTTTATAACAATATTGTTAAACAAGACATATTGTGTTGCGTTGCCAACAAGTTGTATTTAGTTCAATGACAATTTTGAGAAAACCAGCATTTTCACATCTTAAGCTGGATGTGTAATAACGTCAGTTTCAAGTTTAATGTATAATGTCAAAATACATACATACACACATACAACATACATACTTAAGTTGTTAGACAGATGAAAAGTTGTCTTCGTTAACTTTGTTTTCCTTTTATTAAACACATATGTATTTAATAAAAGCATTGAAACTGTTAGATATTTAAATTTAGTTAATTGAAAACAAAACAATTATAGCAGCTTTGAGATATTTTTAATTTCCGGTGAGATCGAACATTAAAAGTAATATACACGCAGACGTATTTTCTTGTACTTTTTATGTTGATTGTAATCCCTAGAGTTAGGACAAATAGCATATACAACAACGTTAACTAACTAACTAACTAACTAAAACTAACTAACTAACTAACTAACTAACTAACTAACTAACTAACTAACTAACTAACTAACTAACTAACTAACTAACTAACTAACTAACTAACTAACTAACTAACTAACTAACTAACTAACTAACTAACTAACTAACTAACTAACTAACTAACTAACTAACTAACTAACTAACTAACTAACTAACTAACTAACTAACTAACTAACTAACTAACTAACTAACTAACTAACTAACTAACTAACTAACTAACTAACTAACTAACTAACTAACTAACTAACTAACTAACTAACTAACTAACTAACTAACTAACTAACTAACTAACTAACTAACTAACTAACTAACTAACTAACTAACTAACTAACTAACTAACTAACTAACTAACTAACTAACTAACTAACTAACTAACTAACTAACTAGCTAACTAACTAACTAACTAACTAACTAACTAACTAACTAACTAACTAACTACCTAACAAACTAACTGATTAACTAACTACCTACCTAACAAACTAACTAACTAACTAACTAACTACCTAACTAACTTACTAAATCACTAAATCACTAACTATCTAGCTTACTTCTAACTAACAAACTAACTTAGTGATATCCGTATGTTTGTTGAAAGCAATTTTTAAAGAACTCAAACATCTTGGATTATTCTATAGTCTCGACTACTTATATATAAGCCACAGTCTCGATTACAAATAAGTCTACAGTCTAGCTACCCTTAGAGACAGCTAAGAGGGATCTATTTACTATATAGTAGTCTTTATATGAGTCTATAGCCTCAACTTAATTTTTAAAATCTAGATTTTTAAAAGAAATACAATTTTTAGATTTTCTCCACTAAAAGCTCAATTTTACAATAAAAATTTAACTTTTTTATTAAATGGCAAATTCTTACTAATGGAGATACAATATTATAGGAATATATATTAACTTGTATACCAAATGAAAGTTCTCTGAAATGTATTTTTTTGACATATTAAATAAAGAGTTTTATATATGAATTATTTTGCAATTTGGATCATATAAGGGGGTTTTTATATAAGGACAGCAATCTCCATTTTATTCATGATCTTACTTAAAAACATTGGGTTCGATTTGCTACCATACTTCTGAGTAAATTTGATTCAAACTTTTTTTAATTGTAAATATGTATTACAAACGACATGACAAACCTTTATAATCCCTTCTCACGAAGGTGAAGGGTATAAAAAAAGATAGCATATAAACGTACCACGTGTGTAAATAGAATAATGACTATAAAAAGTCATTATTATATTTATTAAAGTAAATACAGCTTTTTATAATTATTATGTAAGCATTTTAATAATTGTTATTTACATAGTAATTAACAATAGCTTAAAAATCGTATAATTATTTTTTTCATTTAAACTTCAATTGTTTCCTTGACAATGTGTAATATTTAACAAGAATCCTATTATAAACTTCCTATATAAACGCAAACTAAAGTTATATTTTTCCCATATCATTATCAACATGAGTTTCATACCCAGTAAATTGATTTACTTTTTAATAATTTTACAAATAACCAATTCGGTAATTTGTAATACAGAGCTTAAAACAAAAACCGACATCTATAGGCAAGATACCAAAGTTGGATTTATAAAAACCAAATATAAACTAAACGATTATGGTTTGAAAATAGAAGAAAAATGTAATACGACCAATTTATTGTTCACCCATGATGGTCTAGTAAATGGCCAATTAATCTCCGAAATACAGCGTACATATATCGATACCAAGAGAGGCTATAGGAGTCCCCGCTATTATGCCAGATTGTACAATAATCTACAGACAATAGCCGAAAGAGAATCGTTAAGAATCAATTTTAAAACCATCATTAGTCATGGACCAAGAACCACCAGACTCAATAATTCGGGTGTGAAAAATGAAATGCGTTCTATTTTGGATGTGGGTTTCGGTTTGAACTTTGATATGCCCATACGTGGTCATAAGTTAAACTTCAACGATACCACAGAAACTAAATTAAAAGAAATCCTCAACTTGTTTCTCAATCATACATTTGCAGAAGAACGAGTTAGAAAAATTAAATTTAAATTGCAAATCACTAGAGAAACATTTAAAACCGCTTGTAAAGTTGGAAAAAATAAATTGAAATTAGAAGTTTGCGAGAGTAATAACGAAACACAACTTCTTTTAAGATTCATACTTAGCAACGGTAAAAGATTAACACAAAATCAAAGAACGTTGTGTGTGAAAAAAGTTAAAGGTATTTTAGAAAATGAATAAATATAATAAATAATTAATAATATGATTAATTGAATTGTTTTATAAAATTTACTTAATAAATTAAATTTTCATATCAAATAAAAGCATTTTTCTCATTTAAGGGTTAAAGTGTTCTTATAACATCTAGCT